GACAGGTAAACATGCACCAACAGGGAATCAGCCCACAGAAACCCAAGGCAAACGGAAACCAAGCCTGTGCACATACTATGCACTTGGTATCTGCAGACATGGGAAATCTGGAAAAACAGACGGGACGTGCAACTATGACCACCCTAGAAAAGCCGTGCCCATATGACAACAGGAAAATGCAAACTCCCTTCCTGTAAGCTTTTTCACCCTGAAAGGGTGTACCTCTTCAGTACAGGAAAGACTGTGCTTAAAACTTAAATTGCCAGGCACACCATCTAAAGGGGACAAAAAGATACAAACATCCAAGCCATGGGAAAAACCTGGGTAGCCACAGCCACTCAAGGGGGAAAGGGTTGTCTAGTGCCAGGAAGGAAAAAAACTGGCAGGAAATGGCAGAAATCGGTACACCAAATCCAGTCTTTTCCTGGAGTGGAACCACAGTCGATGGCCTCCACTCCAAACCAAACAGATTCCAGATTACAAACCCGGGAAAAAAATCCCCCCCCCCCAAGTACCAACAATACACAAGTCGATACATTCTTCTTTGCAAATATACAGGGTCTAAAGCCAGCAACAACAAAATCCCTTTCACCCGTGGACTGCATGCAGAGGCAAAGGCAATGTTCGCGGTTTTCATTGGGACCCACATGAAGGATCACTTGGACAACGAAATATGCACCCCAGGTTACAACCTATACAGAGTGACAGAGTGAACAGGCAAAAGGAGGGGGTTGGCCTGTACATTGCAGAGTCACTTGTTTGCACAGAACTGCTTAATGCCTCAAATGATTGTAGTGGAAGTTTAGCAGTAAAGATCGAGAACCAAAACCTAGTCATTGTGGTATCTACAAGCCTCCGGATGCAACATCCAGCAATTCCAGGAACAGCTGTTAAAAATTGACCACTGTCTGGAAAATCTTCCAGCTCCTGCACCAAATCTTGCTCCTGGGGGATTTCAACTTAAGGCACCTAAAATGGAGGAATATAGCAAATAAAATTGTTGCAGTAAAACACCAGGAGGCAGCTCGGATGAAAACTCACACTCACACGAGCTTTTAAATCTCTGCACAAAATTCAATTTAAACCAGCAAATAATAGAGCCTACTAGATGGAGAATACACTGACCTCATCTTTCACTAACAATGATGATCTGATAAGAAATGTCACCATATCAAAAACAATATACTCAGATCACACATAATTGAGGGTTTAGACATGTATGCGCGGAGCCCCAGATCGACATAATGAGATTAGTCACGAGGGAGCATTCACCAAATTCAACTAAATAACAAAAAACATAAAGTGGACCAAGTAACCAAGTCCTAACCGTATAAAGCTGGGAAGATATATAAGCAACACAGACCCCAACTTATGCTAGAACAGATTAAACTTGGTGGCACTCGATGTATGCACAAGGCTTATTCCTCTAAGAAAAAGGAAAGGGGTAGATGTAAATAGAAAGAGACAGGCGCTCCCTTTACAGTGCGGGAAAAGAATAACATAGCGGCTAAAAGAGGTCAATATATCTGAAATGCGTAGGGAGACACTGGTTAGAGAAATAGCAAGTATCGAGCTTAAGCTAAAGGAATCTTATAGGAGTCAGGAATCGCGGGAAGAACTAAAAGCCATAAATGAAATCGAAAGAAACCCAAAGTATTTCTTCTCCTATGCCAAATCAAAGTCGAGAACAACGTCCAGTATGGGTCCTACACAGATGACAGCAAGGAAATGAGTGAGCTACTCAAGTCCCAATATGACTCAGTTTTTAGCAAGCCGCTAACCAGACTGAGAGTCGAAGATCAAAATGAATTTTTTATGGGAGAGCCACAGAATTTGATTAACACAAGCCTATCCGATGTTATCCTGACGCCAAATGACTTCGAATAGGCGATAAATGACATGCCCATGCACTCTGCCCCAGGGCCAGACTCATGGAACTCCGTGTTCATCAAGAACTGCAAGAAGCCCCTATCACGAACCTTTACCATCCTATGGAGAGGGAGCATGGACACGGGGGTCGTCCCACAGTTACTAAAAACACAGACATAGCCCCACTCCACAAAGGGGGCAGTAAAGCAACAGCAAAGAAATACAGACCGATAGCACTAACATCCCATATCATAAAATCTTTGAAAGGGTCCTAAGAAGCAAGATCACCACCCATCTAGAAACACATCAATTGCACAACCCAGGGCAACATGGGTTTAGAACAGGGCGCTCCTGTCTGTCTAACTAATTTGGGTCACTACGAGAAGGTCCTAGATGCACTAGAAGACAAAAAAGAAGCAGATTTTAATATATACAGACTTTGCAAAGCCTTCGACAAGTGTGACCATGGCGTAATAAGCGCACAAAATGCGTGCTAAAGGAATAACAGGAAAAGCGGTCGATGTATTATAATTTCCTACTAAAGAGCACAGAGAGTAGTAGTCAACAGAGTAAAATCCGAGGCAGGCACGGTGAAAAGCTCTGTTCCCCAAGGCACAGTACTCGCTCCCATCTTGTTCCTCATCCTCATATCCGACATAGACAAGGATGTCAGCCACAAACACCGTGTCTTCCTTTGCAGATGACACCCGAATCTGCATGACAGTGTCTTTTTGCAGACACTGCAAGGCTCCAGGCGGACATCAACAAATCTCTCAGTGGGCTGCAGAAAAACAATATGAAGTTCAACGATGAGAAATTTCAATTACTCAGTATGGTAAACACGAGGAAATTAAATCTTCATCAGAGTTTCAAAAACAAATTCTGGCCACAAAATAGAGCGAAACACAACGTCAAAGTCCTGGGAGTGATCATGTCGGAGGATCTCACCCTTCAAGACCTTAACATTGTATCAAACGCATCTGCTAGAAAAATGACGGATGGATAATGAGAACCCTTTAAAACTATGGAGGCCAAGCCCATGATGACACTCTTCAGGTCACTTTTTCTTCTAGGGGTGGAATATTGCTGCACACTAACAGCACCTTTCAAGGCAGGTGAAATTGCTGACCTAGAAAATGTACAGGGGAACCTTCCGGCGTGCATAACAGAGATTAAACCTCATTACTGGGAGCGCTTGAGGTTCCTAAACCTGTATTCCCTGGAATGCAGGCGGGAGAGATACATGATTATATAACCTGGAAAATCCTAGAGGGACCATTACCGAACTTGCACACGAAAATTTACTTTACTACGGAAGCAAAAGACTTGGCAGACGATGCAACATCCCCCCAATGAAAAGCAGGGGTGTCACTAGCACGTTAAGAGACCATACAATAGTGTCAGGGGCCCGAGACGTTCAACTGCCTCCGCATACATAAGGGGGATTTCCAATAGACCCCTGGCAGTCTTCAAGCTGACACTGGACAAGCACCTAAAGTCGGTTCCGACCAGCCGGGCTGTGGGCTCGTACGTTGGTTTGCGTGCAGCCAGCAGTAACAGCCTGGTTGATCAGGCTCTGATCCACCAGGAGGCCTGGTCACAGACCGGGGCCGCGGGGGGCGTTGGGCCCCCGGAACTCTCTCCAGGTAATATATACATATATTTATAAAATATTTTATACATATATATATATTATATATATATATATATATATATATATATATATATATATATATATATATTATATATATATATTTTATATTATATTATATATAATATATATATATATATGTATGTCGTGCCGAATAGACAGAACTTAGTATTATTATTATTATTATTAAAGATGAGCGGGTATTCTCCCGGCCCGGGCCTTTTCCAAGTGGTGGCCCGGCCTTGGCTCCCTCTTTAGGGAGTGTCTGAGACCTAAGTCTCCCATGGGAGGAGGCACAAGTACCTCCTCATCTTTGGGACCAACTGTCCCCAGGCCTAGCCACAAGCTAGGCCTCTCTGGTCTGCCATCCCCGCCCCAAGGGAGCAAATGGGAATGACAGTCTTATGAGGTAAAGTCTCGGGCTCAGGCACCTACCCTACCCTAGAAGGGTTAGGCATGGTATCGATGAGGCAGAACTTGCGATCTTGGCTTAAATAGCAACGTTCATCTTGCCATATAGGACAAGTGAAAATTTGTGTATGCAATAATTTCGCCAAAATCATTCTGAGCCTAACGAAAAAAATACATTTCACTGTGTTTGTTTAGTATTAAATTACTGTAAACAAATCTAAAATATATTTAGTTGTGTTAGGCTAAAATAAATTGCTCTTTTTATAATAAGGTTAGGTAAATTTTCTAAGATTCTTTTGGTGCAAAATTAAAATTTTTTACATTAACATTAAAGAAAATAATATATCTTTAAACGTAATAGAGAAAATTTTAGAAAGGACTTAATTTTAAATGAGTTCTTGCTAATTGACCAGTTTTACATATTCGGCACGATATATATATATTATATAATATATATATATATATATATATATATATATATATATATATATATGTATATATATATATATATATATATATATATTATATATATATATATATATATATTATATATAGGGGGTACCGCCTCTAGAACTGTATATAAAGCACGCGGAGAGTTGCACATTTCGGAACAGATATTCGGCGAGGTGTATCTCGTATATAAACCAAGAGGTTATATCTCAGTGTATATTTATACGGAAGTGTATATCTATACACTGTATATATACAACAATGACTTACTTCATGAAGATGCTTATTTCTATCGATTTAGTTACCACCCAGAAATTTTACCATCTTATCACTCCATCCTCTTGAAACAAAAGCAAATTTTTTTTTTTTTGCATACGATTTTTAGTCAGTTTCTCGAGAAATAGCCAATAAATGCAACAATACGGAGAGTGAAGGTCCACTGAGTGAACTACAGTATAAACCTTCAGAATTTCCATCCCACTGTCACAGTCGCACATTTAATCAGTTTTTTCTGTTATTTCCAAGACTAGGAAGTCTAACCCTCTCCAAATTTATTAAGAAGGAAAGCAGATATGCAGAATAAGATATTAGACATTAGGTATATTTTATAGAAACAAGATTCATACTTCTTCTTGCAATATACTTTAATACATAGTTTTTAAATAAATGTATTCATTTCCTAAATGAGCTTTATGTCGAACGCTTAGAAAAAGCCTAGCATTTTTTTCACAACGCAGAGGTTACAGCAAACGTTCCGTTGTTCTTGATGTATTTGCGATACTCAGTCATGACCTGGTCAGCAGTGAAGGCACACAGTGGGTAGTTAGAAGGGCAGCTGTGACCTTCTTGACCATGCCAGGCTGCCTCATCATAGTTCCCGTACGTAGTGCCATCACTCTCCCCAGCTCCACTGTCAATGACATCATCAGAATTTTAAGACAATAATAGCGTACCTCAGTTAATATTAAATTAGATTTCTGTTATTTCACTGTCAATTATCAATTAAAATCTTGGTAAAAAAAAAGGAACCCAGGTTGCAATAGAGTCCATTATTGGTACAACTGGTGGACTCTACTGCAACTATTGGTATCAATAAAAGGCATCACTACAATTAGTATTTCTCTAACTACTTGTCGACCTCCTGACAATCTTATGACCTAAGGTGTTTAGTCTATACTTATAGCCTAGATTTATATTTAGATTACTAGAAGAATATTTTTAGAGCAAAATTCTCTACCGGGGGGGGGGGATAAAGCTTCATGTTGAATTTGTAATGTTAATTAGTAACTTTGAAAAGTGTATTGTTAGTTCAGCTGTATTCACTAAATCCATAATAGGAACGGACAACTACAAAAATTTGTTGCCAGGTCTATTTTAAGTTTGATACCTCGACTTTTATTCTAGCAGGGTGGATGAATGAGAAATCGGGAGAAAATTACTGCATGTGCAGGGTGTATCATTCGTAGGAGGCCCCGGGAGTAAGAACTCGGGACTACGACAGAAACACCCTGTACTTGCCAACATATTTGTAACAGTACAAAATGAAAAATGAGCATAATCATAAATACTTAGGTCATTCGAGAGATTAGCAATCGAAGAAGTTTAAACATATGATTTAATTGAAGACTCCGAAACAGTTAAAGTGAAGTTGATATTGCTCTCTGAAGCTTACATTTGGCACTGGTATGGTCTAACCTAGACTGGATGACACAGACTGTTTTCTCATGACCAGCAATGAGTGATGTTTTTTTCTGTGGGGCAAAAGCTGAGAACTCACCGGTAGGGTAGAAGTATTTGAATTTCATCTTCAGCTAGTTCACGGGGGTCTTTCTGTGCCAGCTCACATACCACTCGTAACCCACACTGATCCTTGTCCTCTACTGCGACCTGTAAACAAGGCATCTATTATACATGGCACTGGTGAAACACTGGGCATGTTTCCTTACACCTGATGCTCATGTTAACCTAGCAAGAAATAGGTACCTGGGTGTAGGTTACCTACCTGTTGTAGGTAACATCCTGGGGGATAAGCTTAAACTAAGTTGTCTGAAATGCTCTGCCAATGATGTCACCCACGTCAGTCTGTCTTAGCTGTATCATGTACTGTACTTGTAGAAGTAAGATTATTATTATTATTATTATTATTATTATTATTATTATTATTATTATTATTATTATTATTATTATTATTACTATTATTAACGTTGGAAATCCATTATTTCATTACGACGTAAATGTCTCTGGAGACATCATATCAGTAACATTTCAAAACAATATAATAAAAAGATTATCTTAAATAATGCATACCCAAAATATTATTGCTTAACTATTAATCTGAGATATTACTAGTTTCTTGGTAAACGACTGAGCCTTATATGTCACCTCAAACACTTGTGCCCGATGTATCTATCAGTAATAATGGTAATCAATATTTTAAGAAATCATAATAAAACCCGTGATTGTAAATGTGAAAAAAAAATACCTATGAAAAGTGCAAAGAAATGCCAGAGCTGCTTGTGTTTACACACTTTTATCTTCAGAAAAATTATAGCATTTTACGGTATAAATTAACATTAGGCAGATGTATAAATTTAAGAAACTTATGAGTTGATAAGTATGTTTCTAAATAATGGTTATAATCATAACCATAGCTTTTAAAGGGGAGGACCGGTAAGCCAGCGGAAGGCCTCGGTCAGATGGCCAAAAGCTCCAGCTGCGGTGTCATCACATAACTAAAACCCCGCGTCAGGAAACAGTTGTCCAGTTTCCTGACAAATGTTACTTAACCTAACCGTGTTCCAAACCTCTTGTGTTTATACGTAGAAATTTCGGCGTTAGGACACAATTTCTGAGACTCCCTCGACAGGGTGCCAAGGCCGGGCTACCTCTTGGAAAAGCCCCGAGCCGGGCGATTATACCGGCGAATCTACAACAGAACAGGAAACAATTGTCCTGTTTCCTGACAAACCTTACCTAACGATAAGTATATCAAAGCTTTCAAAGAACATTAGTTGTCCACCAGTATTACTCTTATTTATAGAGTATAGGTAATTTTCTGCAGGGTTTTCAGACCCAGTGTCGTTACACCTTGTCAACAAGTTGTTACATGGCGCAGTGACATAAATTTTTGAGCACAGTGATTTTACAGTCTTATAGTTTCGCCTTATTGTGAAATGATAAAGATTTTTTTACCTTCTTATACGCTTGTTGGATCTCGGCGTCTTCTATGAAAGCGCTGATGCTCCTGCGACGTCTCCTACCATAGTAATTACCACCACACCAGCCACATGCACCACCACAGCCACCGCACCCGCAGGAGAGACACTCATGGATGTGGTGATGGTGGTGGTGGTGACGTTGGTGGTGTCTACCTGCGATCACACCCTGTGCCAGGAAGAAACTTTGTAATGTATCCCAACACAAAAGTGTAATATACACTGGTCAGTGACCAAACGCACCTCCAGCAGATTCTGCTGAAGAGGACCTCAGTGGTAAACCGAAATATACAGTACTTTTCGTATTTTCAGTTTTTTTTTTCAATACCTTTATAGCACATGTTAAAGTGGAATGATATAAGTGTACCTTAAAGCAAACTTTTTTTCATCTTAAATTCACAATTTTTTTGCACTATAAATATTTACATTAAGCACATGATTATTACAGGCATTCATAAGGATCAGTTATGAAGATTTAACCTGGGGTAACAAGGTTCCCGTTTGTATGAACAGAAATCTGATGAGTCTGACTATCTCAGATGAGTATTTTAACTTTCTTGACTTCACTTAAATTTCAGTTTAATATGTTTATTATGCAGCCCATACCCATCCTGTGGGTGGTAGTCACACCATACCCATCCTGTGGGTGGTAGTCACACCATACCCATCCTGTGGGTGGTAGTCACACCATACCCATCCTGTGGACGGTAGTCACACCATACCCATCCTGTGGACGGTAGTCACACCATACCCATCCTGTGGACGGTAGTCACACCATACCCATCCTGTGGGTGGTAGTCACACCATACCCATCCTGTGGACGGTAGTCACACCATACCCATCCTGTGGGTGGTAGTCACACCATACCCATCCTGTGGACGGTAGTCACACCATACCCATCCTGTGGGTGGTAGTCACACCATACCCATCCTGTGGGTGGAGTCACACCATACCCATCCTGTGGGTGGTAGTCACACCATACCCATCCTGTGGGTGGTAGTCACACCATACCCATCCTGTGGGTGGTAGTCACACCATACCCATCCTGTGGGTGGAGTCACACCATACCCATCCTGTGGGTGGTAGTCACACCATACCCATCCTGTGGGTGGTAGTCACACCATACCCATCCTGTGGGTGGTAGTCACACCATACCCATCCTGTGGGTGGTAGTCACCAACCCCCGTATACACCCATCCTGTGGGGTAGTCGCACCATACCCATCCTGTGGGGGTACTCACACCATACCCATCCTGTGGGTGGTAGTCACACCATACCCATGGTGTGGGTGGTACTCACACATACCCATCCTGTGGTATGTGGTGTCCCATACCATCTGTGGGTACTCACACATATTGTGGTGTAGTCACCATATCGTTCTGTCATTGTTTATCAAAGATCACAATACATAGGGGCCCTGGAAGTGATGTATCTGCTGTCTTTGTATGTTGTTTTAAATATTGTCGGAAATATATGGGAATTATAGTTCTTCATTATTTATAATATCATTTTACACTGGAGTATGCCTAGTTTTTTTTTGTATGATAAAACGTTCTGTAACTCAAGCGAAACAAAAACAGAATTAAAGGAAAGCATCATTACCCCAGTAAATGCGAGGGCGCCCACAGCAACCACGCCCACGCCACAACATGGTGACGCTTCCACTTCAATATACGACACCAATATGCACGCCCACACGCCCACTATCAGGCCTATCAGCTTCATGACTTTGTCTAGAATTAATATAGGTTTACATTAGTTTCTGCATTTAAAGAAAATATATATCTTTACAACACAATACAGGATACTAGAAACACTTCTGAAAATCTACCATAGTTTGAGCTGGATCAAACGGATCTTGTGCATGTTACAGAGAATATAATTTGTTGATATTTACATACGAAAATGGAGTTTCTGATTAACAAGATTATAATAACTAAAATTTAATTATACAATTGGTATTATTCTCTTCTTTTAGAAATACTCTGCATCAGTTCCTTGATTATAATAGGTTTAGTTAGTTTAATATCTTATTATGTCGTATATTTTCCATCACTCAGAGAATAACAACTTACTTGTAGACCAGAACTTGAGAGGTACAAGCGCAGTAGCTGGTAGCCTGGTATGTTGATGTGATGTAGTGAGGGGCCGGCCACCTATATATACTACGAACGGAACCTTCATCCGAGGACAAAACATGGCTAATATTTGCTTGGAAACTCTTAATACTCTCTCCTGCGAGACTTCTGGCGTCACCGGGTTCATGGTAATGTTTGTATGTCTACATTCTTAAAACTATGATGTGGGTCTAGGTTTCTAGTAGGGAAAAATGTCGTAAGTTGAGGCTGATAGTGATTGCCTTTACTTCAAGGTCATCGTTCTCTCCCTCGCCAGCTTTACTCTGTCTTTCTTACACAATCATAACTTTGAAAAATATAAGATACTATAAATAATTCAGACCCACATATAAGCTACACAAATATTTTTCGTGACTTTATCCATGTCTGCATAAAAACTAATTACGACTTAACCATGAATAAACTATGTAAAATAGGTTAATAACACTGTAGTTAGTCAAAATTTTGCTGACCAATCCTTGGACCCATTATATATCTTGTTATCTTTTTAACTACCTCCCACAGGATGGGTACGGGTTGCATAATAAAGATTTTAAATTAACTTTCTCACCTTTCCTTCCTTTAATGTTCTTTTTTTCAATTAAATATATAACAAATAAAAAAAATTATAGTCTATATTTGTGTAGAGAGTATGAAGAGTACACAATTTGCAGTATGAGCAATTACTGAGACAACGTTTTGCTCTCTGAACAGCAAAACATCGTCACCATAGAAGCTTGTGCATTAGTTTTTTATAATTGTCAGCAATACCCTCTTGCGGAAAAAGATACAGAGGAAAATGTCAGACTGGTAAAATTTATTTGACCAACTTACCAAGTAACTAATCCAACCGTCAGTTAATAACTGATTAGAAATATACTTTAAAGTATTACAGATTAAATAAAAAACGGGCCCTTTTCATAGGCTAAAACAATTTCTTTCAGTCAACTTTGCTTGTGCAGTAGTCATTTTGTCTGACTTAAAACTGATCAGAAGAAATTTTTATTTTTGACTTAATTTCCTTCACTTCCACCGTCATTATGACATTTCTTCTGTATTATAAAACTGACTCTACATAGTATAGAAGTTTTACATTTCCTGTTTTGTTACAAAATGACTCTCAGAGTTATTCTCCTTGTTTAATTGTTACCTCGCATTATATTCGTTGTAAAAAACGCTCTACAGAGTATCTCTCTGTTTTTCAAAGAAAGCTCTACGGTAATCTTGTTTCCAAGAGCTACATATATCTTGTCATAAAGCTCACGGTATCTTTGTTGTTCAAAGAAAGCTACGGAATCTATTTCAGAAATCTCTACAGCGTATTTTTGTATCAAAGAAAAATCTTGAAATAAACTATGGTATCTAATTAATTTGGATACATCCAAGCGTATTTATATTTACATAAAATACTCTAATACCGACTCTACTGTATGAACAAATGTACAATAAAGAAACTAGATAAAGTAACCTCTTTTCTTTATTGCAGAGAAAAGTATGATTTATACTAATGTACATCAGACATGAGTGTCAGAGTGACTGGTTGCTCGGAGAAGTGTGTACAAAGTATTATTAGTTCATTTGCTTAGTTCTACGGATTAAAAGAAGGTTTTAAGGCTGCAGTCAACCTAGATTCTACTGGAATATTAAGTATACTTCAGTCCCTGGAATATTTAAGATATTTCGGTGTGTACATAGTGTAAACATTGAAATATACGTTATCGGTGGGCCTTAAGACTTTCCTTTTTCATTTTCCAATTATATATATAATAAGGTTTAACTGATTTTCAAATAATAGACAGTCTTTTTTTTATACACACTTAATAAAGACAAAATGTTTACCTATACTGGGTCCCTGACCATTGTGGTGTTCAGGGCCATGAACTTGCAGATTGTACGTCCGCAGTTCAGGACCTTCCTGTCACTTCCTAGGCGGATCCTCTCTTCCTACTATTATTCAGTCCTGACTCAGCATGTGTACGTTCATTGGTTGCTTCCCTGGTCTGCACTAGTGACCAATAAACTCATTTTAATCAAACTACAATTAACCTTTTGATTATCTTTACTTCATTGTCAGTTGTGGAAAACAGTACTCTCGCGCCGGTACACCCTTCATCAAAGAATCGCTCAAAGAAAAAAAAAACTCAGAGAATGAAATATAGCTCGTTTTCACTTTCTACATGGGCTGTTCTAAGCTCATTAACTAAATGTTTCATCGCATGTAGTGGACACATGACATGTGTCGTATAAGTACATAGACAGTATTTGTACAACACAGCCAGACCCCAGAAAAGTAAAGGGACCCCGTAGACAATAGGCGCTACACACACACGCACACACATTTCTTCAGTCATAGAGTTGTCAGGAAGTGGAATAGTCCTGGAGGCAGGAACCATACACAGCTTTAAGACGAGGTATGACAAAGCTCAAGGAGCAGAGAGAGAGAGAGAGGACCTAGCAGCGATCAGTGAAGAGGCGGGGCCAGGAGCTGAGTCTCGACCCCTGCAACCACAATAGGTGAGTACACACACACATTATATATTAATAAAATCATGAAATAATTGATTTTGAATCAACAGAACTGCGGCTAACCGGGATTCGAATCTGTGTCACCATGTTTAGCTAATATCCAGGGATATGATTGAAATTAGTCTCTGAGTTCACCACGGCCACGTATGTTCTCGCATCAGGAAAACACGCCCTGTCCTACTGGGAGCCTGGTGTTTGAGAATTGATGGTCCAGTGGTTAGAGCGATGGGTACGTTGTACTGTTCTCACGGAGCCGGACATTATGACGCAGGGTCGAATCCCGGCTAGCCGTAGTTCTGTAAATGAGAGAGGGGGTAAAGGAGGTTTTGTGGGCGAGGGGTTTGGACTTCCAGCAAGCGTGCGTGAGCGTGTTAGATAGGAGTGAATGGAGACGAATGGTATTTGGGACCTGACGAGCTGTTGGAGTGTGATCATGGTAATATTTAGTGAAGGGATTCAAGGAAACCGGTTATTTTTATATAGCCGGACTTTAGTCCTGGAAATGGGAAGTACAATGCCTGCACTTTAAAGGAGGGGTATGGGATATTGACAGTTTGGAGGGATATGTTGTGTATCTTTATACGTATATGCTTCTAAACTGTTGTATTCTGAGCACCTCTGCAAAAACAGTGATAATGTGTGAGGTGAAAGTGTTGAATGATGATGAAAGTATTTTCTTTTTGTGGATTTTCTTTCTTTTTGGGTCACCCTGCCTCGGTGGGAGACGGCCGACTTATTAAATATATATATATATATATATATATATATATATATATATAATATATATATTAAAATTATATATATATATATATATATTATATATATATATATATATATATATATAATATCTTATACATATAAATTTATATATTTATATATATATATATATATTATATAAAATATATATGCCGAATATGTAAAATGGTCAATTAGCAAAAACTCATTTAAAATTAAGTCCTTTCTAAAATTTTCTCTTATACGTTTAAAGATATATTTTTTTATTAATGTTGATGTAAAAAAATATAATTTTGCACCAAAAGGAACTTACATAAGAACATAGGAACACTGCAACAGGCCTACTGACCCATGCGGAGCAGGTCCATGTCCTCCCCCCCCGGGATTAGATCAATGACCCACCCAGTCTGGTCACCTCCACTCAAGGATGGAACACGGCGCCAGACCCAGCAGCACAAGCTAGTCAGGTCCAACTCACACCCACCCACACCCACTCAGGTATTTATCTAACCTATTTTTAAAACTACACAACGTTTTAGCCTCAATAACTGTACTCGGGAGTTTGTTCCACTCATCCACAACTCTATTACCAAACCAGTGCTTTCCTATATCCTTCCTGAATCTGAATTTTTCCAACTTGAAACCATTGCTGCGAGTCCTGTCATGGCTGGAAATTTTCAACACGCTATTTACATCCCCTTTATTTATTCCTGTTTTCCATTTATACACCTCGATCATATCCCCCCTAATTCTACGTCTTTCGAGAGAGTGCAGATTCAGGGCCCTCAGTCTATCCTCACAGGGAAGATTTCTGATACATGGGATCGTCTTTGTCATCCTCCTCTGTACGTTTTCCAGACCATTTATATCCATTCTGTAATACCTGAGCAGCATAGTCTAAATAAGGCCTAACCAAGGATATATAGAGTTGAAGAACAACCTGAGGACTTCTATTATTTATACTTCTAGATATGAAGCCAAGAATTCTGTTAGCTTTATCATTTTAGCTTTATTATTTTAACTTAACCCAACTAAATATATTTTAGAGTTGTTTACAATAATTTAATACTAAACAAACACAGTTGTATTATATATTTTTCGTTAGTGGTCAGAATGATTTTGGCGCGGAAATTATTTGCATACACAGATTTTCACTTGTCCTTATGGCAAGATGGTCGTTGATGATAAGCCAAGATCGTTAAGTTCTTGCCTATTCGGCAACGACATATATTCTAAAATAGTATAGTTAATTATATATATTATATATATATATATATATATATATTATACTATATATATATATATATATATATATAGTATTTAGATATACATATATATATATATTTATTATATACTTTATATAGATATATATATATATTTATTAATATATATATTAGATATATATTCTATATATATATATATATATGTAGTTAATATATATATAAATTATAATATCTACTATTTTTATTTTTTCAATTATACTATATATATGTATTATATATTATATATATATATATTTTATATATATATCTATAATATATATTATATATATATATATATATTATATATGTAAGGGTAGTGGTTGTGTAGACAGGCAACCGCCCATGGGAGGTACTACCGTCCTGCCAATTGAGTGTAAAACGAAAAGCTGGTAATTGTTTCTTACATTGATGATAGTGATTTGATGGTGTCCATTGTTTTCTGATCTCACGTAAACATACAGATTTCAGGTACGTTTTGCTACTTTGACTTACACTTAGCGTCACATAGTCACTTGTACATGCATATATATACACACACCCCTCTGGGGTGGTGTGTATATAGGAGAATGACGTATATAGGAGTATATTACTTCATATAGTATTGTGTATATAGGAGTATAGTGTAATTGGTAGAATGAGG